ATTGGTCTAGAAATGTTAATTTATTATTATTTTTTTTTTATTTTTTCCATGTGTACAGGGGTAACACATCGTACTAAATATGTAAGGTCACATCTACGTGAGTTTGATTACAGAAACTAATAAAGTATTCTCTAAATAATGAAAAAAAGAATAAGATAAGACTATAAGAGCAAGAAGCAATTTAAATATGTTCAGGGACCATTTTCATCTCCAGAATTAAGGATTATTTTAATGTTACATCATTGCCTTTTCTCTTTTACTTTCCTTTTTAGTTTTATTTTAGGATTCCCTATTTTTAATGTTCATACAGAGATTTCTTTAACTGAAATACCGAATAGTTTCTTCGATGTGAAACACTATAATAGTACACAGGATCCTAATGAGATAATTAATAATGTGAAATAGGAAGTAAAGGGCTAAAGGTGTAGGGAAAGTGGGAAGGGTGGGGGAAAGGTAATAAGGGAGAGGAAAAAAAATATGAGAAACTGAAAAAATGGAAATAAAGTGTTTGTAAATGGGGAGGGGAGGAGGGGGTGAAGGGAGGGCAGGGACAAGGGGAAAAAATGAGAATCAAGACCTATTATGTAAAGGTACAGAATCCCAATGATGAATGCAACTGTATTGTATACCTAGGTTGTACCAATAAAGTCAATAAAAAGAAAAAGAAAATAAAGTAATGTTTCATTTAAAAATAAACATTGCAAGGGCCGGGGATTTAGCTCAGTGGTTCTGCTGCCTGCCTTGCAAGCACAAGGACCCGAGTTCGATCCCCGGTACCAAATAAATAAATAAAAATAAACATTGCATAGTTTCAATGGCTGTACCCAATTCTAAAATAAAGAAGAGAGCCGGGTGTGGTGGTGCACCCCTGTAATCCAGCACTCTGGAGGCTGAGGCAGGAGGATCGCTGAGAGTTTGAGACCAGCCTGGACTACATAGTTCCAGATGAGTCTCAACTACATAGTGAGACCCTGTCTCAAAACAACAACAACAAAAAAAACAATGTGAGTGGGCCAGAGATGTAGCTTAGTGGCACTGTGCCTGGCAAGCACAAGGTCCTCAGTTTGATCCCTGGTATGGGGTGGGGGCGGAACACAGACAATGTGAGGTGGGTTGTTTTCACTTACAACCTACAGAGTTCAGTAACAGAGTAAAATACAAAGATGGACAAGGATGGACTAGGTCACCTCCTCAGGTAACAAGTGAAGTATTAAAGACCAAATGGCTGGCATTAGATGGAAGTTACATGTTGAATATTTTGTCCCCCAGAAATTCATAGAAGAAGCCCCAATTTCCAATGTGAAAGTATTTGGAGGTGGGCCCTTTGGAATGTTATGAAAATGAAGTCCCTATTATGAGATTAGTGCCCTCAAGAGGAAGAAATACCTGTTTCTTATCTCTGTCATGTGATGACACAGCAAGAAGGTGGCCCTCATCAGAACCTGACCATGTTGGCACTCTGATCTCAGAATTATACTCACCAGAACTATGAGAAATATCTGTTGTTTAAGCCAAGTCTGTGGCGTTCTGTGATGCAGTTCAAATTAAGTAGCAATTTGATTAGATTTGTTACACTATTTCATCTAGGTCCTATCTACATTTTGGTCACAATGTGGAATAGAAAGAAAAAGAAAGGTATGAGGGCCAGGAAGAGAAGAAAGAGAAAAGGAAAGAAAGAAAAATTCAGCAACCTTGAAAAGCCACACACAGCTGAGAAAGAAGCTCAAAAGCAGTGTGCCAAATGTGTACAGCGGCCTGCGTTTGATCCTTGCATCACAAATGAGGAAAAAAGACAGATAGGAAAATGATAAAATCTGGAGTTTAATGTACTGATGTAAGTTTTTTGGGTTCTGGCAAGTGTGGGGGAAGCTGGTGAGTGTAACTCTACCATCTTTATAAGATGTCTATAAATCTAGAATAATCCCATCATGACATTCCCCAAACAATTATTCATTGCTTTCCTAATTAAATAACTAAAATAATGAAATATCTTCTCATGTATCAAGAAGAGAAACAATAATGGCAAATAAAAGTAATCTCATGCAGTGTTTGTCATAGGTAATACGGAGGGATGGACAACACACCTGTGTGCACTGTTAATGGGGCTAGAAGGGTACTACACTGTTGGGATTCAGCTTGGCGACATTAAAGCTAATGCAGCCAGCTGGGCGTGGTGGTACACGCCTATAATCCCAGGACTCAGGAGGCTGAGGCAGGAGGATCGCTGTGAGTTGAGACCAGCCTGGGTTACATAGTGAGTTCCAGGTCAGTCTCAACTACATAGTGAGACCCTGTCTCAAAAAACAAAACAAAACTAATGCAGCCAATTTCACTTAACTCATCATTTCTATACTCTCAAATTGTCAGAGATGTGTGCAGGATGTTCATAATAAAAGAGGAGCTGAGGTAGAGAGCTCTTGTTTCCCAGTTTAGGCTGTATCAACCTATCCCAGCATGAGACCCAGAGGGAGCTCATCACCTCATAGTCTACCAGTTCTCAGATGAGTCTGAGATTAATTAATCTGGCGGAGGAAATTTCAAGGCAGGCCAACATTCAGGCTGTTGGGGCTTTTGGCCAGCTCTACATCAAGAAATCAAGAGCAAATAGTTCAGTTGAATGAGTTAAACAGTTTTGAGTTTGGCTAAACTTTGGAGTTGGAGCTAAAGTTAAAGGAGGAAAGGCTAGTCTAGCTCATAGTTTGTAGAGGTGTCAGTTTGTAGTTGCCTGGCTCCAGGGCAGGGTGGATCGTGAAGGTATGATAATCACCAGTACTTAGTCCATCCATGAGTCTATAGCTGACTTGATGTTAAGTGGAATCTGGTTGGAAGAGGTGGGGGAGAGTGTGGCCTGGAAGGGTTTTCTTTTTCCTATTTGTTGAGCGCCATTCTATATAATTCTTGGGTCAAAAGCATTTCATGACTAAATCGTGGTTAGGGCTGTCTGAGGCCTAGTGTCTTCTTGCCTGTGTGCTGGCTATGGTATGCGGAAACAACTCCATGTGCCTCCAGTCACAGCTGCTGCTTCAAAGGTCACATGATGCCGTGATGCTGCGGGGAAAGATTACCTCAGTCGAAGACATCTTGGTTCTTTGAGAATCAAGTAGTAATACGAAAGCAGAAGGACTAACTCTTCCTCAGAGGACTGTCATTTTTTAAACCAGCCAGTTCTTTTTCCTTTGCGTCAGTTTGTCTGATGTTTATCTCCTGGAATAGTAGTAGCTTCCTTGCCCTCTCTGGTATGGTAGGACATGAAGGCCAGGGATTTAGCTCAGTGGTTCTGCCACTTGCTCACAAGCGCAAGGTACCAAGTTCGATCACCGGTACCAAAAAAAAAAAAAAAAAATCATAGGACATGAGCAAAACGTAGACAAATTTTCTGACAGATCATAACACACATAGTCTGGAGTCCAACTACCAATGGAGGCTTTACTCCCAGTTGAAACTTCCTGAGCTTGGTCTTTCCTGGCTGCATGTCTATCAGCATTCGGGTCTCCTGAGCTCTAACCAGAATCTCCTATCAAGCTCAGCTTACAACATTCTAGAGCTCCTTCTCCAGCCAGCATCTAAAATCCTTTCCAAACTCTTCCCATGAGCCAGTTCCAAAGGCTTCTGAACCACATGGTTAGGTACAGCTGAAGCAGGACTTAAAGAAAAACAAGTCCCA